AAAAATATGGGATCAGAGGAATGGTTCTGAAATGGATTAGAAGTTATTTGACACAGAGGCGTCAATTTGTGAAGTTGGGTGAATACCAATCGAGTCAGCTGGATATTGTATGTGGAGTGCCTCAGGGTTCTGTTTTGGGACCTAAATTATTTATATTATACATCAACGATATATGAAAGGTTTCTGAATTATTTATGTAGAGATACTGCTTGCAAACCAGTGATGGTAAGATGATGTCAGGGGGTAGGACTGGATAAGTCTGACTTCTTCCTACTCCATTTAAGCATGTACTACGTATAAGCAAATTGATATTGGATTAGTATTTGTTGGATATGTGTAAAATTATGTGTGTTGTCATATCAACTGTCTTTACATGCTTGAAAGAATAAATCAAATCAAAACATAACAGCACACACAAAGAGGACAGAGATAAATGAGAGGTTACCAGGGGTCTATGAAGAGGCTTGAATGCTCCTTAAGAAAGCTCTGGTTTCCTGGCCAAATTACAGTGGTTCTTGAGGAGGCATGGAGTCTTTGAGTGGACTCCAGGGATCCAGATATCTCTAAGGAAGTTCAAATGCTTTATGATGAGGTTTCAGGTCCTGGAAGAGATTACAGTGGTCTCTGAAGACTTGTAGTGATCTTGAGTTGGTTTCTGTTGTCTAGACAAGGTAATAAATAAATGGTTCTTGGGGAAGTTCCAGGGATTCTGAAGGAGGATATAGTGGTCCTTGATATGGTCCCATAGAAACTTTAGTACATTTCCAGAGGTCCCTGAAGGGGTTGTTCTTGAGTGAGTATTGACACATTGGCTTTGTTTAGAGTGGAACTGTTTGTGATCATGCGACTTCTGAAAAGCAGTCAGTGAACTAAATATTGACAGTCAGTAAATACCTCTGGGTGCTTCTTAAGCAACAGACTTGTTTTCCACTTCTGTATGTGTTAAATACAGAAGATTACAGCTTTGGAGTTGTTGCAAGGCACTTTTAACAGAGCCAAGTAGTGAATGGTTAAACATGTTGTTTAGTAATATTAGCTAATATTGAGGTCAGATGAAGATACACTGTGTTACTATAGACAAAGCCATTATGACACATTTGGATAAAAACCATGAAACCCTGTGCAAAATTAGTGCCAGTCCATCAAGAATGCAAACCTGTTGGTGGCGCAAAGGGATGCCACTGCCACTGTCATCACTGAATCTTGAATATCTTTAGCAGTCTTTACAACAATCCATCCAATAGTAAAGATATTTTAGTCTGAAGAAAAGGGTTGGACCGACTGACCTGCAGTGCCCCCCGCAGAGCCACGTCACTGGCATGGCTAAAGTTTATCAGCTAATATTTTTTGTCATAGTTTTTGTTTACAAAAATTATACAATAAATTATTAATAGCTAATAATGATGTTTGATAAATAATAAGTAACAAGTCATTTGTTAAAAATTTGAAGTAATTTGCCACGTACTATTCAATAGTACCTAATGCTTGTCATTACATCGCCACTTGTCTTTGGACCCCATGTCGTTTATAACAGCAACAGTAGTGAGTTTATTGTCCACTGTGGAACCACATGCTGCATCATCTTTTTCTCCACAGCTTCAAAATCCATTTCTGCTGCAGTGAGCACAAAAATCCACAGTTTTCAACAGCTTTCTGTTTATCTGTCCTCACTCTGCTTCCTCCTCCATTCTCTCCCCCTCACTGCCCTTCCTCTCTCACCTCTGCACTTGTTGTTGCTTCTTCTTTCCCTCCCAGCCCCTCCTCAAGTTATTCTCTATTTTCTTTTGATCTCATTACACAAGAAAGACAACTTTGTGTTTCCTTGTTCTCGTACTTTTTTCATCCTCCCTCTCCTGTCTTTCACTTTTCTTCCTACCATTTCTCTTTCAGTATTTTAGTTGCTTCATTCCTCGGTATCTTCTAGCTAACAACTCTTATCACCTTCCATCCTCCCGCCCTTATTTGCTACTCACTCTCTTTTGCTATCTCTCCCCCCACCTCCCCCTTTTCCTCCCTTCTCTCTCATTACAATCTTGATGTCAACATTTACCATCCAGACTGAGCTGGACCAAGGTTGTTTACTTCATGCTTTTATCATATGGTGGGATAATGATACTTAATTGCTTCATTTGCTTAACAACCTTGGGTTCAGGGGCCAAAGCAGCACAACCCTATTTGATGTGCCAGTCTCAGACAGGAACTGGAGCAAAGATACGGACCATGGGGTGGTAGAGTCAGGACCAGTACAGTCTGTTCAATGTGGTTTTGATGAAAAAGAGAGGCACAGAGCAGTTGCTTCAGTCAGGGTTGCATATTTTTCAAAGAAGACAGTGAACTGCAGCATTAGAGACTCAGTAGATTTAGAAAAAGGAGGTTCATTTGTGTTAGTTTTGAGCAGAAGCAAAGTAAGCTGGAGAGGAATTTTAGGTTAAAGTGTTAAAAAGTACAATCAGGAGAATATGGCAGATGGAGATGGCTGAAGGATCAAGAGGTAAAGTGAAGTTTAGTAGAATGCAATAGGGCAGATTCAGTAGAGGGTAAGAGGTTTATATGAAAGCATGTAAGGGAATAGCTGAGTAGGTTTTCTTGGAGTCCTCTAGATGGAAACACAAGAATAAAGGGTGTGGAAATGGACCTTTCTAGAATTTTCTAGGAGAAGAAGAAGACATTAGAAAAGTAGAGTAAAACAGAGCAGAACTAGAATAAACTGGACTTTGAATTGAGCCATGGAGCTGCTGGAAGTGTTTTATCGGAGGAAGCTGAGGAAGAAGCAGAAGAAGGCAGAGCTGGGCCGGTCAGACGGGGCACTGTGCCGGTCACCGTCAGAGGCCAGCGCCAACAGCCTGGCGACGGGTCTCATCTCCAAAGTCCTCAGGTTCACCTCCAGGTAAAACAGGTCACATGTTTAGTTTATTCAGTTGGAGTTGTTCAGGAAAAAAGGTCAGATGAAAGTTTGTTTGAGTCAAGAAAGTGGGGGTTATTTGAAATGAGACTTTGGCTGTTTTCCATAATAATACACTTAAGAAAAGAAGTTTAGCTCCACATGTCCAGAGCTGGCAATCAATAGTGGAAACAAACACAGAACCCATGACGAGCACTATTCAGCATTAGGTTCCTATAATGGAAAAACCCGATTAGTCATGACACTGATGATGTGGACATGATATTTGTGATTTGTGTGTGATCTTTGTTTTTGAAATGTCCTTTTTAACTTTGCTTGACCTTTGCAACCCTAAAGTTGCTAAGGCAACTAAACCTTAGTATCTGTGAAATGTACATGGAATTGGTGACTTTGACAGAGACCTACATGGTTTTGATGACTTTGACATGACCCTGATAAATACTATAGGGTCCAATTAACACAAAAATGTTTATTTAATTGTTTGCTTTGGTGTGGTTTTAGGTTTGGATTTGACTTGAATTTGATAAATTAAGCACACAGCATCCTACCTATGCCAGTCCCCCGGAGCTAATGGAGAGGGGAAATATCAGCATGTAAGAGTGATGATAACATGTTGAGGTATTCCAGTCATGTCCTGTCATTACCCATGATCCTGTGGTTCAGAGCTATGCAAGATTTTATATCGCTTATCTCCTATTTGCTCAGATAAAATCTTTTCCTGTTTATATTTACGGATAAATGCAGAGCTGCAAAACTTGTCAGATATGACATTCTCTTGTGCAAGTTCAGTGCATGTACAGATTGGGTGAAGTTGTTCTTATTCAGTCTGTTGCACGCCTCTTTGCACTGCACATTTGTAGTGTAACTACAGAAATGAAAGCAAGAGAATATTATTGAAGAGCCCCAGATGGTCCAGTGTAAGATGGTACAGTGTAAGTCAGAACACTTAACTTCCAAGCAGTTTTACAAAATCATATGTATAAAAAGTATTTGAAGAATACATTTTTCCCTTCTCATATTTTCTGATTTTATTAATATACTGTGGCCTGGATGGAAAGCTTTGGTGGGCCGGATGTGGCTGTCAGTTGATGATCCATGCAGTAGTCATTATCATACCTTAGCATAAAGACTAGACACAAGGGAGAACAGGTTAACACATTACTTCATATAATGTGCACAAACTTCAAGTCCAGCAAACAACAGTTTGGTTTAATGCTGTTTGCCGTTTTATGTTTTACGGGCTATATGTGCTGGACCATTTTTTAGGCTGGATCAGTAATTAACATTTTTTAAGCTAAATGGGTGTTTTATAAAATAACAGAGCTGTTAAGGCTGACTGACCAGAAGTGTTACATTTTACCTCCTCTACACATTTTAACAATCTTTTGTGATCTTTTTGAATCCAAATGTGTTTAAACACAAGTTCGCTCTTTGCACTGTAACCCAACAGACGCAGTGTGCCGGCGTCTCGTCCTCACTCTTGGCATTCAGCAAAGCTCAGTGAAGCTCGACAGGAGTTGGAACAGGACAAGATGGATGCAATAAGCAGCTCCTGGCACAACAGCTATCATGCTAGGTGAGTGTCCAAAACCAGATCTGATTATACACTGGTAGATTAGCCAGGTAGCAGTTGCAATAATAATTTGAAATAAATTAGGCAAGGTTATGCTTCTTCTTTCATTGTGGTGATTTTTGTATATTTTCTGTTTTTAATTTTTGACATCAAAGTGGGGGTAGTAACAGGATTCAAACTGAGGGAGCCCAAAATAAACTACGACCAACTGGAGAATCACTGAAATCTTTTTTTCAGTTTGATTTTGAATTTCTGAGACACTGTAACAGGAGAAACTTGGGCACTCAGCTCATTTTTCACCATAGAAATTCCAAAGAACTTATGATATTTGAGTGTAGTATGACTTGTTCAACTGGTTACAGAAAAAACTGAGCTGAGCTGGTAAATGGTTTTATGCAGAAGGTGATGCAGCAGCTCTGGTGTTGGAATTCTGTAAAGCAACAGGTCAGTTATTTCTACATACAGTCCACCTTACTGTTACTGCTGTAGCTCTGGGGGATGTGTGCAGCTTGACAGCATTTTAAATTGCATTGCATTGCACCCTCTCGTTGAGTTTCTTGGTGCCACTGATTCTTCAGGTGTACTGGTACTCCATCAGCATACGTTTAGCTTCTTGTTTAGCTGAATGTATTTTGAAGCCACGGAAGGATGAAGCCAGCAACGTTACATATCTTGTGCCTGAAAAGGGCTAGGGATTTTGGATTTCCACTCAGAGGGTCAAAGGTCATGTCTTCAGACAGAGATATAGTATTTCATATCTTATCTCTGTCGAACAGACACCAGTCTCCTTTCTTGACATTAAACACAACCTGCCTTGTGCTTTCAGCTCCCAGATTAAAGTCATATGCAGTTTTTACTTTTTGTTTTTGACTTTTTAATGGGACCTAAGTTATGTTGAATGTACACCCAAAAGATGACAGGAGAATAACAATTCTGCACTACAGGAAGGATTATGACAAGCAGAGTAATTTATACAGTAGCTTCATAGTATTTCTTTGGAATTAATGGGCAACATAATGATAACACAGCACAAGTGTGTTAGCCTTGGTAACTTTTTGGATATTGAGGGCATTTTCTAAAACTAGTACATTTTGGAAAGTAAGGACCTTTTTTAGAAAATGAAGACATTTTTGGAAAGGCAGGACAGTTTGAAGAATAAGAAACATTTAGGAAAAGATTGGGGAAGTTAGGACATCCTCAGAAACTAGGGACACGGGATGTTTTGGGAATTGAGGGCATTTTAGAAAGTAAGGATATTTCTTGAAGATAGGGACATTCAGGGAAATGAAGACTTGAAGTGACAATCTTTCAAAAAATGAATAACATTTTTCAAAAGTTAGGACATTTTGCGGAACTGAGGACATTTTAGAAAAATCATTCACAGGGCTACTTCATTTAAAGATAAAGATTAGAAGTGGGTCAGATTCCGGTTAGGTTCAGGTGCTAAAATGTCAATGAGGACCTCACAAGTTTGGGGCTCAAATGTTTGGGTGTGTGTTTGTATATGTGTGTTGGTGGACGGGGCATTGACGTGGATGCCTGCAGAGTTCCTGATCCCCCTCCCCCTCTGGGTCTCCCAAGCAACAGTACCACCCAGCCACGCACACACACTCACTCTTGCTCATTGTGTCCTGTCAGTAAAGCCTGGATCCAAATAAAAGTTCATTGTAATATTTTGCAGTTCTGCTATAGTGGGTCTAACACACAGTCAGACGGAGGCAGACAGTTCAGCTGATAGAGGACAGTGAAACAAAAGTTAGACAGCACAGAAGGAGAGCTGTACAAAGAAACAGTCTGTCCTCTTTTCCAGAGTAGCAACTGTGTTCAGCTGAAAGACTTGGTGAGTCAACCTGTGACGTAGACACAGACGCAGACACACAAATTTACATTCCAGTCAGTTATCTAGAGTGAGGTAACTGCAGATTCAGCACGAA